TCATCATCCGTTAACTTTTACAAAAATCTTCTCCTCTGAAACTACTGGGCCAATTTGAACCAAACTTAGCCTTAATCATCCTTAGGGTATCTAGTTTTAAAGACCTGTATCAAGCGCCAATATTGTGTCCATTTTTGCCCCAACTGTTCAGGGTTGGACCTCTGCGGTCGTATCCAGCTGCGCTAGGCGAAGCAATTTATTGGTTATTATCTTGAATATTATAATAGATATAGATAAACTGTAAACAGCAGGAATGTTCAGTAAAGTAAAATCTACAAACAAGTCACATCACCAAAATTGTCAATTGACCTCTTAAGGGGTTATTGCCCCTTAAAGTAATTTTATTTTACAATTTTTTTGAAATCCTTGTAATCTTTTACAAAAAATCTTCTCTTAATCTACTGGGCCAAATGGAATTAATAGCATATACTTTCAGCATACTTATATTGGGCGAATGCCCCCCCAGACCAGGCAGGTTAGTCGGGGTCACCACCCTTGCCCAAATTTTTATACAACCGCCAAAAAATTTTGCGGTCGTATATTGGTATGACGTTGGCGTCGTCGTCGTCGTCCGAAGACACATTGGTTTTCGCACTCTAACTTTAGTTTAAGTGAATGGATCTCTATGAAATTTTACCATAAGGTTCAATACCACAAAAGGAAGGTTGTGATTGATTTTGGGGGTTATGGTACCAACAGTTAAGGAATTAGGGGCCAAAAAAGGGCCAAAAATAAGCATTTTTGTAACTTCCAGACATAACTTGTGTGTTAGTGTATGGATCTCTCTGACATTGTACCACAAGGTTCCATATCACAAAGGGAATGCTGGGATTGATTTTGGGGGTAATGTCATCAAAATTTTAGGAATTAGGGGCAAAAAAAGGGGCAAAAAACAAGCATTATCTAGTTTTATGACAATAACTTGTGTGTAAGTGTATGGATCTTTCTGAAATTGTACTACAAGGTTCCATATCACAAAGGGAAAGCTGGAATTGAGTATAAGGGGTAATTGCCCAAAACGTTTAGGAAAAAGGGGCCAAAAATAAGCATTTTTCTAGTTTCAAGACAATAACTTGTGTTCAAGTGTATGGATCTCTCTGAAATTGTACTGCAAGGTACCATACCACCAAGGGAAGGCTGGGATTGATTTTGGGGGTAATTGCCTCAAAATTTTAGGAATTAGGGGCCAAAAAGGGGCAAAAAAACAAGCATTTTTCTAGTTTCAGGACAATAACTTGTGTGTAAGTGTATGGATCTTTATTAAATTGTACTACAAGGTTCCATATCACAAAGGGAAAGCTGGGTTTGAGTTTGGGGGTAATTGCCTTAAACATTTTGGGATTTGGGGCCAAAAGGGGCCAAAAAACAAGCATTTTTCTAGTTTCAGGACAATAACTTGTGTGTAAGTGTATGGATCTTTATGAAATTGTACTACAAGGTTCCATATCACAAAGGGAAAGCTGGGTTTGAGTTTAGGGGTAATTGCCTAAAACGTTTAGGAATAAGGGGCCAAAAAACAAGCATTTTTCTAGTTTCCAGACAATAACTTGTGTTCAAGTGTACGGATCTCTCTGAAATTGTACTGCAAGGTACCATACCACAAAGGGAAGGCTGGGATTGAGTTTGGGGGTGATGAATCATAAGGGGGTTCGAAAAATTTAAGGGGGGATAATTTTTCCTTTTTTTTTTCTTTAAAATTTTCCATTTTAAATTGGTTATTTCTGATTTATATATAAAAGCAAATAATAATGATATGGTTTGAATAGGTAAATTAAAAAAAAATTAAGTTTTTAGACCACATTCATTCTGTGTCAGAAACCTATGCTGTGTCAAATATTTAATCACAATCCAAATTCAGTGCTGTATCAAGCTTGAATGTTGTGTCCATACTTGCCCCAACTGTTCAGGGTTCGACCTCTGCGGTCGTATCAAGCTGCGCCCAGCGGAGCATTTTATTTTTGAAGGGTGTTAAAAAAAACATTGAAAGGCATTTCCAGCATTATACAGGCCCTTGGTGAAATAAATTTTGGAGCGGAGGAAAGGAAATTTTGCATTTATTGTTAATTATCTTGAATATCATTATAGATTGAGATATACTGTAAACATATAAAAAATCAAGCAAAGAAAGATCTACAAATAAGTCAACATGGCCAAAATTGGCAATTGACATCTTATTGGAGTTATTGTCCTTTAAAGTCATTTTCTGCAATTTATTGGTAATTTAGATTGTAAAGTAGATTGTTTTTAAATCAAACAAAAGGCATAATCCTTATAATATTTTTCCTTTCCTTAATTGTACACGGTAGTCACTTGTGGTTTTGGTAATGTTTTAGCAATGTATCCTATGCAAAATTTTGCACCTTGCATGAATCTTGTGTTGACTATAAGCTTCACACAAACTTAATTATTTTCATGCCCCTGCCGTGGTGGAGGGGGCATTAAGTTTTACCCTTGTCTGTCTGTACGTCTGTATGTCCCAAAATTAGTTTCTGTTCTCTTACTTTAGTTTGCCTCAACCAAATTTTATCAAACTTATACACAATGCTTATTACCACCAAACACAGATCAAGTTCAAATTTGGGTGGCGTCACTTTTGCCGTTCTCGAGTTGTGTCCTTTTGTAAATTGAAAAATTGCAGAATTTGCCATATATTTTCATGGACACAGTCTTCATTTATTTTTATTATAAAATGTCTGTTATCAGGACTTCTTACAATTTGGAGACAACCTATGTTTGATTGCATAAAAAACTGCATAAAAAATTAACACACTTCAACAATAACCAGGGAAGATAATTTTAATGAAAATATCCAGTGTTTAAAAATGTTCTCAGATTTTTCAAGAGTTATTCCATCTATAACTACATATTGCAGCTCTTGTATGGTAAAAAGTGAAATCACATTTTGATCTTAATATTTTTATGCCCCCACCGTAGCGGTGGGGGCATTAAGTTTTACCCTTGTCCGTCTGTACGTACTTACGTCCAAAAATTGGTTTCCGTTCTCTAACTTTAGTTTGCCTCAACCAAATGTTATGAAACTTATACACAATGCTTATTACCACAAAAAACAGATCAAGTTTGAATTTTGGTGCCGTCACTTTAACCATTCTAGAGTTATGCCCCTTTACAAATGGAAAAATTGCAAAAATTTTCTTTTCTTCTAAATATCAAGTAATTTTTAAAATTGGAGTTATCTTCCTTTGTCCATGACTATAGTTGAATCAACTACAATCAATGCTTCATACAATGCAATGTTTAATTTTGACTCCCACTGATAAAACACAGATCATCATCAAGTTGAATTTGGGTAGTGTCATTTTAACCATTATTGAGTTATGCCCCTTTATAAATCGAAAGATTGCTAAATTTTTAGTTTCCATTCTGTAACTTAAGTTTGCCCCAACCAAACATTATGAAACCTATACACAATATTCATTACCACAAAACTAAGATCAAGTGCAAATTTTTTGTTTCCGTTTTCTAACTTATGTTTGCCTCAACTAAATGTTATGAAACTCATACACAATGCTTATTACTACATAATACAGATTAAGTACGAAATTTGGTGGCGACACTTTTACCATTCTTGAGTTATGTCCCTTTATAAACATAAAAATTGCTGAATTTTTCGTTTCCGTTCTCTAACTTTAGTTTGTCTTAACCAAATGTTATAAAACTTATACACAACCGTTCTAGAGTTATGCGTGTTTACAAATAGAAAAATTGCTGAATTTTTAGTTTCTGTTCTCTACTTAAGTTAGCCTCAACCAGATGTTATGAGACTACACACAATGCTTATTACCACAAAACTCAGATCAAGTTCAAATTTGGGTAGCGTCACTTTTACCATTCTTCAGTTATGTCCCTTTATAACTATATGATATGCAAGCGGGGGCATCATCCACATTTATCTTTATTATGTGAAAGCAATATTCACAAGTATTAAGTTGGGGGTGGTAAGGGGGTTGATATTTCAAGGTAAGTCCATCTGGTAAGCTAGTGTTTACTATATGTGAATGATGAAAAGCACAATTGTCCATAATAATTGTGTCACCAGGTACAAAAATGGGTTGTTGTCCATTTGCTAGTTTATCATTATTGATATCAATAGCCTCAGCAAAAAAAAGTAATTAAGTTCCAAACTATTAGATGGTCAATCAATAACATTGAAATAGTCCACACCAAACAGTATGTAACAGATTGAATTATTAGTTGTATATATAAACTTGAAGCATATCTTTGTAATTCAAATGGTTTAGAACCTTTGACGTTTTGAAGTTCCATAATATCTATCTCCAAATGTTTTTATTACACTGCTTTCATAAAAAAAAAAGTTAGGTACTTGGAGTTTGAGTGCTTATTAATTCAACCAATTCCAGTTATTAAATTGCAACTGTATATCATCTTTTTGAGTTTCAACAGGTCAAGTTTCCAATTTTTTTCCCACCTGTTACAAATTTAAGGTCCTGGAAGGCGAAACATAGGTGTTGCTTTTCCAGTGATGGCGAGGTCAACAGCATCAATATTTGTTAAGTTTTCTTCTTATGTCAGTTCGATATTTTGTTCAGCTAAATTAATCAATGAATTATTGGCTTTTCAAGAAGAAATTTAAATTTCCCTTTGAATAAACTCCACAGAGATCAAAAGCTATTGTATTTGATTTAATGGGACAGGTGAACTTACACAAATTTTAGTACACAGGTAATCTACAGCTGATACTGTGGAAAGATTTCATTTCTTTTGCAATAAATGGAAATTAAAAAGAACTAAACTATTCTGCATGGAAAAAAAGGAAAACACCTTAAATTGCAGATTGAATAAATTATATAGCATATTGAAGATACAATATAAAGTGTCAAAGCTTTTACCAATAAAATTTATGTTTGAATTTTTTTTTTTTAAGTATATGCATCTCAATGATTTAAAATATCAGTGATATATTAGGCTATGTCTAGTGTACCATTTTCATATGTTTTGTTATTATTGTTGCTTTATTCCAGTGAACTAGCAGATATGCCAGCAGTTAACCCTGATGAAGACCCAGACTTAGTTTGGATACCATTTGTGTTAAAGGTCATCCTAGGGCCTGATGGGAAAGTAGACATAGAGGAGCTTCCTGAAGATGTGAGGAATTGTTATTTTTTAAGAAAATACTTTATTTGTAGCATGCTTTGATTAGTTCTTGGGAATTTATTGGTTCTAGAAATGCTATTTTTTAAAATTTCATGTTTAAATAAGCTATTTATTGCAGAAATGTTTTAAAAGTTAATTTTGTTTGCATGTATTTAATTTAGTCTTTTCCGTTTAAACTTAAAGCATATATAGTCACAAGTTACTAAATATTGTGTTGGTGGAAAAAGCTAAAGTATTACTATGATTATATAAGTTCAAATGGTAGATTTAACAACAGTACAAGTATCTTTTCTTTGTTAGTGATTTATATCATGAAAACAAGCAGTTAGATATTCTGTATCTGGCTTAATGGAGTTGAATATCAGAAGGCCATTTTTATACGACCGCAAAAATTTTTGCGGTCGTATATTGGTATGACGTTGGCGTCGTCGTCGTCATCGTCCGAAGACACATTGGTTTTCGCACTCTAACTTTAGTTTAAGCGAATGGATCTCTATGAAATTTTACCATAAGGTTCAATACCACAAAAGGAAGGTTGGGATTGATTTTGAACAGTTAAGGAAAAAGGGGCCAAAAATAACATTTTTGTAACTTCCAGACATAACTTGTGTGTTAGTGTATGGATCTCTCTGACATTGTACCACAAGGTTCCATATCACAAAGGGAATGCTGGGATTGATTTTGGGGGTAATTGCCTCAAAATATTAGGAATTAGGGGCCAAAAAAGGGGCAAAAAACAAGCATTTTTCTAGTTTCATGACAATAACTTGTGTGAAAGTGTATGGATCTTTCTGAAATTGTTCTACAAGGTTCCATATCACAAAGGGAAAGCTGGAATTGAGTTTGGGGGTAATTGCCCGAAACGTTTAGGAATTGGGGGCCAAAAAGATAGATAGAGATAAACTGTAAACAGCAATAATGTTCAGCAAAGTAAGATCTACAAATAAGTTGTCATGACCAAAATTGTCAGTCGACCCCTTTAGGAGTTATTGCCCTTAATAGTCAATTTTTAACAATTTTTTGTAAATTTTTGTAATCTTTTACAAAAATCTTCTTTTCTGAAACTACTGAGACAAATTTAACCATACTTGGCCATGATCATTATAAGGGTATCTAGTTTAAAAAAATTGTCCGATGACCCCGCCTTCTAACCATCATGGCTGACTTGGTTAAAAATAGAACATAGGGGTAAAATGCAGTTTTTATACGACCGCAAAAAAATTTTGTGGTCGTATATTGGTATGACGTTGGCGTCGTCGTCGTCGTTGTCGTCTCCGGCGTCGTCGTCGTCCGGCGTCGTCGTCCGAATACATATTGGTTTTCGCACTCTAACTTTAGTTTAAGTGAATGGATCTTTTTGAAATTTGACCATAAGGTTAAATACCACAAAAGGAAGGTTGGGATTGATTTTGGGGGTTATGGTACCAACAGTTAAGGAATTAGGGGCCAAAAAGGGGCCAAAATGAGCATTTTCTAGTTTCCAGGCAATAACTGTGGAACGATGTATGGATCTCTATGAAATTATACTACAAGTTTCCATACCACAAAGGGATGGTTAGGATTTGCTTTGGGGGGTTATGACTCAAACCGTTTAGGAATTAGGGGCAAAAAAGGGGGAAAAACAAGGTTGTCCTGGTTAATGGACAAATACTTTAGTACAAAACATAATTTAAAGCAGTGTAAGGGAGATAAATCAAATACATCATTGAAATTATCTCCCTTACACTGCTTTTAAATTATGTTTAAAGAAATGCATATTTATAAAGGAAGACCAGTAAAAATATCTGCAAATGTTTTCATCTTTTTTTTTTACAAAAAAATCCATATGAAAGATTTGACACTATATTTTTATTAATTCTATTATAAAATAGATTAAGTTAGCACTACAAATGTATGGTAAATTTAAATGGGTAATTATGGTTGCCAACTCCATTGGAAATTTGAATTGAGATTATGACCATATCTTGAGGGAAAGAATTTTTTTGGGGGAAAAAGGGGGTGGGGATAAAAAGAAATTGTGGGGGGCCAATTTTTTCTCATTTCAGATTTCAGAAATTAAAAAGAATTATTCTTCAAATATTATTTTTTTTTTCAAATTTCAAATATTGAAAAATTTCAAGAAGTAATCTTTAATTGCACAGTATGGCGCATTAGATTTGTAAAATCTTTGATCACATTTATTTATTTGTTATGCCGAATCTAACAGTGTATTTAGATTTTTAATTTTGGGTCCAGTTTTCAAATTGGTCTACATTAATGTCCAAAGGGTCCAAAATTAAACTTTGTTTGATTTAGCAAAAATTGAATATATGAGGTTCTTTGATATGCTGAATCTAAACATGTATTTAGATTTTTGATTTTTGGCCCAGTTTTCAAGTTGGTCCAAATTGGGGTCCAAAATTAAACTTTGTTTGATTTCAACAAAAATTGAATATATGGGGTTCTTTGATATGCTGAATCTAACCATGTATTTAGATTTTTTATTTGTGGACCCCGTTATCTAATTGGTTCATATTGAGGTCAAAAGGGTCCAAAATTAAACTTTGTTTGATTTCATCTAAAATTGAATTATTGGGGTTCTTTGATATTCCAAATCTAACCGTGTATTTAGGTTTTTAATTTTGGGTCCTGTTTTTTAAATTGGTCTACATTGAGGTCCAAAGGGTCCAAATTAAACTTAGTTTGATTTTAACAAAATTGAATTCTTGGGGTTCTTTGATTTGCTGAATCTAAACATGTGTTTAGATTTTTTGATTATGGGCCCAGTTTTCAAGTTGGTCCAAGATAGGGTCCAGTATTTAAACTTTGTTTGATTTCAACAAAAATTGAATATATGGGGTTCTTTGATATGCTGAATCTAAACATGTATTTAGATTTTTGATTATGGGCCCAGTTTTCAAGTTGGTCCAAATTGGGGTCCAAAATTAAACTTTGTTTGATTTCAACAAAAATTGAATATATGAGGTTCTTTGATATGCTGAATCTAACCATGTATTTAGATTTTTTATTTGTAGGCCCCGCTATCAAATTGGTTCATATTGAGGTCAAAAGGGTCCAAAATTAAACTTTGTTTGATTTCATCGAAAATTGAATTATTGGGGTTCTTTGATATTCCAAATCTAACCGTGTTTTTAGATTTTTAATTTGGGTCCCGTTTTTTAAATTGGTCTTCATTGAGGTCCAAAGGGTCCAAAATTAAACTTAGTTTGATTTTAACAAAAATTGAATTCTTGGGGTTCTTTGATATGCTGAATCTAAACATGTGTTTAGATTTTTGATTATGGGCCCAGTTTTCAAGTTGGTCCAAGTTGGGGTCCAAAATTATACTTTTTTTGATTTCAACAAAAATTGAATATATGGGGTTCTTTGATATGCTGAATCTAACCATGAATTTAGATTTTTTATTTGTGGGCCCCGCTATCAAATTGGTTCATATTGAGGTCAAAAGGGTCCAAAATTAAACTTTGTTTGATTTCATCAAAAATTGAATTATTGGGGTTCTTTGATATTCCAAATCTAACCGTGTATTTAGATTTTTAATTTTAAGTCCTGTTTTTTAAATTGGTCTACATTAAGGTCCAAAGGGTCCAAAATTAAACTTAGTTTGATTTTAGCAAAAATTGAATTCTTGGGGTTCTTTGATATGCTGAATCTAAACATGTGTTTAGATTTTTGATTATGGGCCCAGTTTTCAAGTTTGTCCAAGTTGGGGTCCAAAATTAAACTTTGATTGATTTTAACAAAAATTGAATATATGGGGTTCTTTGATATGCTGAATCTAACCATGTATTTTGATTTTGGACATTGGACCATAATAGGTAAATTAAAAAAATTCAAGTTCTTAGACCACATTCTTTCTGTGTCAGAAACCTATGCTGTGTCAAATATTTAATAACAATCCAAATTCAGAGCTGTATCAAGCTTGAATGTTGTGTCCATACTTGCCCCAACTGTTCAGGGTTCGACCTCTGCGGTCGTATCAAGCTGTGCCCCAGCGAAGCATTTTATTGGATTATATCTCTGAAACTAAAGCCTTTAGAGCAAATCTGACAGGTGGCAAATATGTTCATCAGATTTAGATTTATCTGCCCTGAAATTTTCAGACGAATCCGACAACCCGTTGTTGGTTTCTATTTTAAGACTTTTAAGCCTTGGAAACAGTTGTTAGTTTCTATTTTTAGACTTTTATGATTTATTTTAATTGGTAATTATGGTTGCAAACTCCATTGGAAATTTGAATCGAGATTATGACCATATCTTGAGGGAAAGAATTTTTTTTTTTGGAAAGGGGGGGGGGGGGGGTGAAAAAAAATTTAGGGGGGAGGGGGGTAAAAAAGAAGTTGTAGGGGCAATTTTTTTTTTCATTTCAGATTTCAGAAATTAAAAAGAAAATGTCTTCAAATATCTCTTTTTGCCAAAAAAGGGGGGGGGGGTAAAAAAAAAATCTTTTTTATTGGGGGGGGGGGGGGTCAATACGCAACAGCATAGTGTATTTCACAAAAGCCAAAAAAAAGGGGGTAAATTTATTTTTTTTTTGTGGGGGGGGGTGGTCAATTTCGCAACAGCATAGTGTATTTCACAAAAGTGAAAAATTGAATATAAATTCAAATCATATAACCAATTCTAAGTTCTTTGACTACAGTTATTCGGTGTCAGAAACCTATTATGTGTCAAATATTTAATTACAATCAAAATTCAGACCGGTATCAAGCGCGAATATTGTGTCCATTTTTGCCCCAACTGTTCAGGGTTGGACCTCTGCGGTTGTATCCAGCTGCGCTCAGCGAAGCATTTTATTTTCTTTCATTAATATTTTCAGTCATTCAGACCAAAGTATGAAGATCCTTGTGTTAAGTATTATGACCTATATGCTACAGTTGGTCACATCAAGGACCAAAAGAATGGAAATACTGTGGTTAGTCAAATCTTTGTTGGGGAGACATTTCACCAACGGAAGGAAGGTGTTACCTGTACTCAGTGGTATTTAATGAATGATTTCTCTATCACACCTATTGAAAAGGTAAGGTTTTTATACGACCGCAAAAATTGAAAATTTTTTGGTCGTATATTGGTATGACGTTGGCGTCGTCGTCGTCGTCGTCGTCTGGCGTCGTCCGGCGTCGTCCGAAGACACATTGGTTTTCGCACTCTAACTTTAGTTTAAGTGAATGGATCTCCATGAAATTTTACCATAAGGTTCAATACCACGAAAGGAAGGTGGGGATTGATTTTGGGGGTTATGGTACCAACAGTTAAGGAATTAGGGGCCAAAAAGGGGCCAAAAATAAGCATTTTTGTAACTTCCAGACAATAACTTGTGTGTAAGTGTATGGATCTCTCTGACATTGTACCACAAGGTTCCATATCACAAAGGGAAGGCTGTAATTGATTTTGGGGGTAATTGCCTCAAAATTTTAGGAATTAGGGGCCAAAAAAGGGGCAAAAAACAAGCATTTTTCTAGTTTCATGACAATAACTTGTGTGTAAGTGTTTGGATATTTCTGAAATTGTACTACAAGGTTCCATATCACAAAGGGAAAGCTGGAATTGAGTTTGGGGGTAATTGCTCGAAACGTTTAGGAATTGGGGGCCAAAAAGGGGCCAAAAATAAGCATTTTTCTAGTTTCCAGACAATAACTTGTGTTCAAGTGTATGGATCTCTCTGAAATTGTACTGCAAGGTACCATACCACAAAGGGAAGGCTGGGATTGAGTTTGGGGGTGATGAATCATAAGGGGGTTCAAAAAATTTGGGGGGGGGGATTCTTTTTTTTTCTTTTTTTCCTTTTTTTTTTCTTTTAAAATTTTCCATTTTAAGTTGGTTATTTCTGATTAATATTTAAAAGCAAATAATAATGATATGGTAGGAGATACACACCAAACAGGATGTGTAAATTATTATATAATAAGTATTGTGCAATAGCAAGAAATTTTCAATTGCACAGTATTGCACAATTGCAAGAAATCTTCAATTGCACAGTATTGCGCAATAGCAAGAAATCTTCAATTGCACAGTATTGCGCAATGCAAGAAATATCCAATAGCACAATATTGCGCAATAGCAAGAAATTTTCAATTGTACAGTATTGCACAATAGCAAGAAATATTCAATTGCACAGTATTGTGCAAAAGAAGATACTTCGTATAAATTGCTTATTTCTTGATCAATTTCAATGGGGTTTTATTCTTGAATTCTTTGGGTTCTTTAATATGCTGAATCTAACCGTGTATTAAGTTTTTATACGACCGCAAAAATTGAAAATTTTTTGGTCGTATATTGGTATGACGTTGGCGTCGTCGTCGTCGTCGTCGTCGTCGTCTGGCGTCGTCCGGCGTCGTCCGAAGACACATTGGTTTTCGCACTCTAACTTTAGTTTAAGTGAATGGATCTCCATGAAATTTTACCATAAGGTTCAATACCACGAAAGGAAGGTTGGGATTGATTTTGGGGGTTATGGTACCAACAGTTAAGGAATTAGGGGCCAAAAAGGGGCCAAAAATAAGCATTTTTGTAATTCCAGACAATAACTTGTGTGTAAGTGTATGGATCTCTCTGACATTGTACCACAAGGTTCCATATCACAAAGGGAAGGCTTTAATTGATTTTGGGGGTAATTGCCTCAAAATTTTAGGAATTAGGGGCAAAAAACAAGCATTTTTCTAGTTTCATGACAATAACTTGTGTGTAAGTGTTTGGATATTTCTGAAATTGTACTACAAGGTTCCATATCACAAAGGGAAATCTGGAATTGAGTTTGGGGGTAATTGCCTGAAACGTTTAGGAATTGGGGGCCAAAAAGGGGCCAAAAATAAGCATTTTTCTAGTTTCCAGACAATAACTTGTGTTCAAGTGTATGGATCTCTCTGAAATTGTACTGCAAGGTACCATACCACAAAGGGAAGGCTGGGATTGAGTTTGTGGGTGATGAATCATAAGGGGGTTCAAAAAATTTGGGGGGGGGGATTTTTTTTTTTTTCTTTTTTTCCTTTTTTTTTTCTTTTAAAATTTTCCATTTTAAGTTGGTTATTTCTGATTAATATTTAAAAGCAAATAATAATGATATGGTAGGAGTTACACACCAAACAGGATGTGTAAATTATTATATAATAAGTATTGTGCATTAGCAAGAAATTTTCAATTGCACAGTATTGCACAATTGCAAGAAATCTTCAATTGCACAGTATTGCGCAATAGCAAGAAATCTTCAATTGCACAGTATTGCGCAATAGCAAGAAATATCCAATAGCACAATATTGCGCAATAGCAAGAAATTGTCAATTGTACAGTATTGCACAATAGCAAGAAATATTCAATTGCACAGTATTGTGCAAAAGAAGATACTTCGTATAAATTGCTTATTTCTTGATCAATTTCAATGGGGTTTTATTCTTGAATTCTTGGGGTTCTTTAATATGCTGAATCTAACCGTGTATTAAGTTTTTGGATTTTGGGCCCCGTTTTTAAATTGGTCTACATTAAGGTCAAAAGGGTCCAAAATTAAACTTAGTTTGATTTTAACAAAAATTGAATTATTAAGGTTCTTTGATATGCCGAATCTAACCGTGTATTTAGATTCTTGATTATGGGCCCAGTTTTCAAGTTGGTCCAAATCGGGGTCCAAAATTAAACTTTGTTTGATTTCAACAAAAATTGAATATATGGGGTTCTTTGATATGCTGAATCTAACCATGTATTTAGATTTTTGATTTTTGGGCCCCGTTATCAACTTTGTCCACATTGAGGTCAAAAGGGTCCAAAATTAAACTTTGTTTGATTTCATCAAAAATTGAATTCTTGGGGTTCTTTGATATGCTGAATCAAACCATGTATTTAGATTTTTTATTTGTGGACCCGCTATCAAATTGGTTCATATTGAGGTCAAAAGGGTCCAAAATTAAACTTTGTTTGATTTCACCAAAAATTGAATTATTGGGGTTCTTTGATATGCCAAATCTAACCGTGTATTTAGATTTTTAAATTTGGGTCCCGTTTTTAAATTGGTCTACATTAAGGTCCAAAGGGTCCAAAATTAAACTTAGTTTGATTTTAACAAAAATTGAATTTTTGGGGATCTTTGATATGCTGAATCTAAACATGTGTTTAGATTTTTGATTATGGGACCAGTTTTCAAGTTGGTCCAAGTTGGGGTCCATAATTAAACTTTGTTTGATTTCAACAAAAATTGAATATATGGGGTTCTTTGATATGCTGAATCTAAACATGTATTTAGATTTTAGATTTTTGGCCCAGTTTTCAAGTTGGTCCAAATTGGGGTCCAAAATTAAACTTTGTTTGATTTCAACAAAAATTGAATATATGGGGTTCTTTGATATGCTGAATCTTACCATGTATTTAGATTTTTTATTTTGTAGGCCCGCTATCAAATTGGTTCATATTGTGGTCAAAAGGGTCCAAAATTAAACTTTGTTTGATTTCATCGAAAATTGAATTATTGGGGTTCTTTGATATGCCAAATCTAAACGTGTTTTTAGATTTTTAATTTTGGGTCCCGTTTTTTAAATTGGTCTACATTAAGGTCCAAAGGGTCCAAAATTAAACTTAGTTTGATTTTAACAAAAATTGAATTCTTGGGGTACTTTGATATGCTGAATTTAAACATGTGTTTAGATTTTTGATTATGGGACCAGTTTTCAAGTTTGTCCAAGTTGGGGTCCAAAATTAAACTTTGTTTGATTTCAACAAAAATTGAATATATGGGGTTCTTTGATATGCTGAATCTAACCATGTATTTTGATTTTGGACATTGGACCATAATAGGTAAATTAAAAAAATTGAAGTTCTTAGACCACATTCTTTCTGTGTCAGAAACCTATGCTGTGTCAAATATTTAATCACAATCCAAATTCAGAGCTGTATCAAGCTTGAATGTTGTGTCCATACTTGCCCCAACTGTTCAGGATTCGACCTCTGCGGTCGTATCAAGCTGCGCCCAGCGAAGCATTTTATTAAACAAATGTAGTCAGTTTGGTTTCCACATACCTGCCAACTTTCACGATTTGGGAGTGAACTACATGATTTTGACCCTTTGTTCCGATTGCGTGATCGTGAAAAAAGCTCTTAAACACTATTTTGTAAAATTCTACACAAAAATTTGTTGGTTCTTGATTTTGAACTGTTTCCAAGGGAGACAATCGTGATCAGCCAACCAAAATCAGTGTTTCTAATGATTATGGGGCATTGCAAACATGGAAAATTTGCACTTGTTTTGAACTTTTGAGTTGTATTTCTCTGCCCATGGTAGACAAATTTTCAAGATGGTTCTGACGCAACTTTAGAAGAAAAGCCTGGCTGTGTGTGCTCAAACATTGGAGGGAATTGCGTTAAGAAGGTGGCCAGATAGACCGAATTCCTCTGTCTCTATATATCATATATTTCCTGATCCTTGTTTGCTTTTTTTGCTTTTTTTGCTTTTTTCAATTTTTTTTATACGACCGCAAAATTTTGCGGTCGAATATTGGTATGACGTTGGCGTCATCGTCGTCGTCCGAAGACACATTGGTTTTCTCACTCTAACTTTAGTTTAAGAGAATGGATCTCTATGAAATTTTATATTGCACATTTTTCATTGGTATGACGTTGGCGGCGTCGTTGTCGTCGTCGTTTGGCGTCGTCCGAAGACACATTGGTTTTCGCACTCTAACTTTAGTTTAAGAGAATGGATCTCTATGAAATTTTACCACAAGGTTCAATACCACAAAAGGAAGGTTGGGATTGATTTTGGGGGTTATGGTACCAACAGTAAAGGAATAAGGGGCCAAAAATAAGCATTTTTGTAACTTCCAGACATAACTTGTGTGTTAGTGTATGGATTTCTCTGACATTGTACCACAAGGTTCCATATCACAAAAGGAATGCTGGGATTGATTTTGGGGGTAATTGCCACAAAATTTTAGGAATTGGGGGCCAAATAAGGGGCAAAAAACAAGCATTTTTCTAGTTTCATGACAATAACTTGTGTGTAAGTGTATGGATCTTTCTGAAATTGTACTACAAGGTTCCATATCACAAAGGGAAAGCTGGAATTGACTTTTGGGGTAATTGCCGAAACGTTTAGGAATTGGGGGCCAAAAAGGGGCCAAAAAACACATTTTTCTAGTTTCCAGACAATTACTTGTGTTCAAGTGTATGGATCTCTCTGAAATTGTACTGCAAGGTACCATACCACATTGGGAAGGCTGGGATTGATGATGGGGGTAATTGCCTCAATATTTTAGGAATTAGGGGCTAAAAAGGTGCAAAAAACAAGCATTTTTCTAGTTTCAGGACAATAACTTGTGTGTAAGTGTATGGATCTTTCTGAAATTGTACTACAAGGTTCCATATCACAAAGGGAAAGCTGGGTTTGAGTTTGGGGGTAATTGCCCTAAATGTTTAGGAATTGGGGGCCAAAAAGGGGCCAAAAAACACATTTTCTAGTTTCCAGACAATAACTTGTGTTCAAGTGTATGGATCTCTCTGAAATTGTACTGCAAGGTACCATTCCACAAAGGGAAGGTGAGGATTAAGTTTGGGGGTGATGAATCATAAGGGGGTTCAAAAAATTTGGGGGGGGGGATTTTTTTTTTTTTTCTTTTAAAATTTTCCATTTTAAGTTGGTTATTTCTGATTTATATTTAAAAGCAAATAATAATGATATGGTAGGAGATACACACCAAGCAGGATGTGTAAATTATTATATAATAAGTATTGTGCAATTGCACAGTATTGCACAATAGCAAGAAATCTTCAATTGCACAGTATTGCGCAATAGCAAGAAATCTTCAATTGCACAGTATTGCGCAATAGCAAGAAATCTTCAATTGCACAGTATTGCGCAATAGCAAGAAATATCCAATAGCACAATATGGCGAAATAGCAAGAAATTGTCAGTTGTAAAGTATTGCGCAATAGCAAGAAATATTTAATTGCACAGTATTGTGCAAAAGAAGATACTTCGTATAAATTGCTTATTTCTTGACCAATTTCAATGGGGTTTTATTCTTGAATTCTTGGGGTTCTTTAATGTGCTGAATCTAACCGTGTATTAAGTTTTTGGATTTTGGGCCCCGTTTTTAAATTGGTCCACATTGAGGTCCAAAGGGTCCAAAATAAAACTTTGTTTGATTTCATCAAAAATTGAATTCTTGGGGTTCTTTGATATGCCGAATCTAACCGTGTATTTAGATTCTTAACTTTTGGTTCCGTTTTCAAATTGGTCTACATTAAGGTCCAAAGGGTCCAAAATAAAACTTAGTTTGAATTTAACAAAAATTTAATTCTTAGGGTTCTTTGATATGCTGAATCTAAACATGTATTTAGATTTTTGATTATGGGCCCAGTTTTCAAGTTGGTCCAAATCGGGGTCCAAAATTAAACTTTGTTTGATTTCAACAAAAATTGAATATATGGGGTTCCTTGATATGCTGCATCTAACCATGTATTTAGATTTTTTATTTGTGGACCCCGCTATCAAATTGGTTCATATTGAGGTCAAAAGGGTCCAAAATTAAACTTTGTTTGATTTCATCAAAAATTGAATTATTGGGGTTCTTTGATATGCCAAATCTTACTGTGTATTTAGATTTTTAATTTTGGGTCCCGTTTTTTAAATTGGTCTACATTAAGGTATAAAGGGTCCAAAATTAAACTTAGTTTGATTTTAACAAAAATTGAATTCTTGGGGTTCTTTGATATACTGAATCTAAACATGTGTTTAGATTTTTGATTATGGACCCAGTTTTCAAGTTGGTCCAAGTTGGGGTCCAAAATTAAACTTTGTTTGATTTCAACAAAAATTGAATATATTGGGTTCTTTGATATGCTGAATCTAAACATGTATTTAGATTTTAGTTTTTTGGCCCAGTTTTCAAGTTGGTCCAAATTGGGGTCCAAAATTAAACTTTGTTTGATTTCAACAAAAATTGAATATATGGGGTTCTTTGATATGCTGAATCTAACCATGTATTTAGATTTTTTATTTGTGGGCCTGCTATCAAATTGGTTCATATTGAGGTCAAAGGGTCCAAAATTAAACTTTTTTTGATTTCATCAAAAATTTAATTATTGGGGTTCTTTGATATGCCAAATCTAACCGTGTATTTAGATTTTTAATTTTTGGTCCCGTTTTTTGAATTGGTCTACATTAAGGTCCAAAAGGTCCAAAATTAAACTAAGTTTGATTTTAACAAAAATTGAATTTTTGGGGTTCTTTGATATGCTGAATCTAAACGTGTGTAGATTTTTGATAATGGGACCAGTTTTCAAGTTGGCCCAAGTTGGGGTCCAAAATTAAACTTTGTTTGATTTCAACAAAAATTGAATATATGGGGTTCTTTGATATGCTGAATCTAACCATGTATTTTGATTTTAGATTTTTGGCCCAGTTTTCAAGTTGGTCCAAATTGGGGTCCAAAATTAAACTTTGTTTGATTTCAACAAAAATTGAATATATGGAGTTCTTTGATATGCTGAATCTTACCATGTATTTAGATTTTTTATTTGTGGGCCCGCTATCAAATTGGTTTATATTGAGGTCAAAAGGGTCCAAAATTAAACTTTGTTTGATTTCATCAAAAATTGAATTATTGGGGTTCTTTGATATGCCAAATCTAACCGTGTTTTTAGATTTTTAATTTTGGGTCCCGTTTTTTTTTAATTGGGATACATTAAGGTCCAAAGGGTCCAAAATTAAACTTAGTTTGATTTTAACAAAAATTGAATTCTTGGGGTACTTTGATATGCTGAATCTAAACATGTGTTTAGATTTTTGATTATGGGACCAGTTTTCAAGTTTGTCCTAGTTGGGGTCCAAAATTAAACTTTGTTTGATTTCAACAAAAATTGAACATATGGGGTTCTTTGATATGCTGAATCTAACCATGTATTTTGATTTTGGACATTGGACCATAATAGGTAAATTAAAAAAATTCAAGTTCTTAGACCACATTCTTTCCGTGTCAGAAACCTATGCTGTGTCAAATATTTAATCTCAATCCAAATTCAGAGCTGTATCAAGCTTGAATGTTGTGTCCATACTTGCCCCAACTGTTCAGGGTTCGACCTCTGCGGTCGTATCAAGCTGCGCCCAGCGAAGCATTTTATTAAAATCTTTGACCACATTTATTTATTTGTTATGCCAAATCTAACCGTGTATTTAGATTTTTAAATTTGGGTCCAGTTTTCAAATTGGTCTACATTAAGGTCCAAAGGGTCCAAAATTAAACTTTGTTTGATTTTAACAAAAATTGAATTAATGGGGTTCTTTGATATGCTGAATCTAAACATGTATTTAGATTTTTGATTTTTGGCCCAGTTTTCAAGTTGGTCCAAATTGGGGTCCAAAATTAAACTTTGTTTGATTTCAACAAAAATTGAATATATGGGGTTCTTTGATATGCTGAATCTAACCATGTATTTAGATTTTTTATTTGTGGACCCCGCTATCAAATTGGTTCATATTGAGGTCAAAAGGGTCCAAAAATTGAATTATTGGGGTTCTTTGATATGCCAAATCTAACCGTGTATTAAGATTTTTAATTTTGGGTCCTGTTTTTATACGACCGCAAAAAATTTTTGCGGTCGTCTATTGGTATGACGTTGGCGTCGTCGTCGTCCTGTGTCGTCAGAAGACACATTGGTTTTCGCATTCTAACTTTAGTTTAAGTGAATGGATCTCTATGAAATTTTACCATAAGGTTCAATACCACAAAAGGAAGGTTGGGATTGATTTTGGGGGTTATGGTACCAACAGTTAAGGAATTAGGGGCCAAAAATAAGCATTTTTGTAACTTCTAGACATAACTTGTTTGTTAGTGTATGGATCTCTCTGACATTGTACCACAAGGTTCCATATCACACAGGGAATGCTGGGATGGATTTTGGGGGTAATTGCCTCAAAATATTAGGAATTAGGGGCCAAAAAAGGGGCAAAAAACAAGCATTTTTCTAGTTTCATGACAATAACTTGTGTGTAAGTGTATGGATCTTTCTGAAATTGTACTACAAGGTTCCATATCACAAAGGGAAAGCTGGAATTGAGTTTGGGGGTCATTGCCCAAAACGTTAAGGAAAAAGGTGCCAAAAATAAGCATTTTTCTAGTTTCCAGACAATAACTTGTGTTCAAGTGTATGGATCTCTCTGAAATTGTACCACAAGGTTCCATATCACACAGGGAATGCTGGGATGGATTTTGGGGGTAATTGCCTCAAAATATTAGGAATTAGGGGCCAAAAAAGGGGCAAAAAACAAGCATTTTTCTAGTTTCATGATAATAACTTGTGTGTAAGTGTATGGATCTTTCTAAAATTGTACTACAAGGTTCCATATCACAAAGGAAAAGCTGGAATTGAGTTTGGGGGTAATTGCCCAAAACGTTTAGGAATAAGGGGCCAAAAAGGGGTCAAAAATAAACATTTTTCTAGTTTCCAGACAATAACTTGTGTTCAAGTGTATGGATCCCTCTGAAATTGTACTGCAAGGTACCATACCACAAAGGGAAGGCTGTGATTGAGTTTGGGGGTGATGAATCATAAGGGGGTTCAAAAAATTTGGGGGGGGGGGATTTTTTTTTTTTCCTTTTTTTTCTTTTTTTCCTTTTTTTTTTTCTTTTAAAGTTTCCATTTTAAGTTGGTTATTTCTGTTTTAACTTTAAAAGCAAATAATAATGATATGGTAGGAGATACACACCAAACAGGATGTGTAAATTATTATATAATAAGTATTGTGCAATAGCAAGAAATTTTCAATTGCACAGTATTGCACAATAGCAAGAAATCTTCAATTGCACAGTATTGCGCAATAGCAAGAAATCTTCAATTGCACAGTATTGTGCAAGGGCAAGAAATATCCAATAGCACAATATTGCGCAATAACAAGAAATTGTCAATTGTATAGTATTGCGCAATAGCAAGAAATATTCAATTGCACAGTATTGTGCAAAAGAAGATACTTCGTATAAATTGCTTATTTCTTGACCAATTTCAATGGGGTTTTATTCTTAAATTCTTGGGGTTCTTTAATATGCTGATTCTAACCGTGTATTAAGTTTATGGATTTTGGGCCCCGTTTTTAAATTGGTCCACACTGAGGTCCAAAGGGTCCAAAATTAAACTTTGTTTGATTTCATCAAAAATTGAATTATTGGGGTTCTTTGATATGCCGAATCTAACCGTGTATTTAGATTCTTAATTTTTGGTTCCTTTTTAAATTGGTCTACATTAAGGTCCAAAGGGTCCAAAATTAAACTTAGTTTGATTTTAACAAAAATTGAATTCTTAGGGTTCTTTGATATGCTGAATCTAAACATGTATTTAGATTTTTGATTATGGGCCCAGTTTTCAAGTTGGTCCAAATCGGGGTCCAAAATTAAACTTTGTTTGATTTCAACAAAAATTTAATATATGGGGTTCTTTGATATGCTGAATTTAACCATGTATTTAGATTTTTGATTTTTGGGCCCCATTATCAACTTTGTCCACATTGAGGTCAAAAGGCTCCAAAATTAAACTTTGTTTGATTTCATCAAAAATTGAATTCTTGTGGTTCTTTGATATGCTGAATCTAACCATGTATTTAGATTTTGGATATTGGACCATAATAGGTGAATGTCCAATTTAAAATTTTTAAGTTCTTAGACCACATTCATTCTGTGTCAGAAACCTATGCTGTGTCAAATATTTAATCACAATCCAAATTTAGAGCTGTATCAAGCTTGAATGTTGTGTCCATACTTGCCCCAACTGTTCAGGGTTCGACCTCTGGGGTCGTATCAAGCTGCGCCCTGCGGAGCATTTTATTAAACTTCACAAGGCACTCAAGATTATTTTAGTATCAAAATAATGAGTTCTTAAAGCACACATGTGATTAAAATTTACTGCCTTTTTTATACGACCGCAAAAAAATTTTTGTGGTCGTATATTGATATGACGTTGGCGTCGAATTCGTCGTCGTCTGAAGACACATTGGTTTTCGCACTCTAACTTTAGTTTAAGTGAATGGATCTCTATGAAATTTTACCACAAGGTTCAATACCACAAAAGGAAAAGCTGGAATTGAGTTTGGGGGTTATGGTACCAACAGTAAAGGAATTAGGGGCCAAAAAGGGGCCAAAAATAAGCATTTTTGTAACTTCCAGACATAACTTGTGTGTTAGTGTATGGATCTCTCTGACATTGTACCACAAGGTTCCATATCACAAAAGGAATGCTGGGATTGATTTTGGGGGTAATTGCCTCAAAATATTAGGAATTAGGGGCCAAAAAAGGGGCAAAAAAACAAGCATTTTTCTAGTTTCATGACAATAACTTGTGTGTAAGTGTATGGATCTTTCTGAAATTGTACTACAAGGTTCCATATCACAAAGGAAAAGCTGGAATTGAGTTTGGGGGTAATTGCCCACAACGTTTAGGAATTGGGGGCCAAAAAGGGACCAAAAAACACATTTTTCTAGTTTCCAGACAATAACTTGTGTTCAAGTGTATGGATCTCTCTGAAATTGTACTGCAAGGTACCATACCACAAAGGGAAGGCTGGGATTGAGTTTGGGGGTGATAATTCATAAGGGGGTTCAAAAAATTTGGGGGGGGATTTTTTTTTTTTTTCCTTTTTTTTCTTTTTTTCCTTTTTTTTTCTTTTAAAATTTTCCATTTTAAGTTGGTTACTTCTGATTTATATTTAAAAGCAAATAATAATGATATGGTAGGAGATACACACCAAACAGGATGTGTAAATTATTATATAATAAGTATTGTGCAATAGCAAGAAATTTTCAATTGCACAGTATTGCACAATAGCAAGAAATCTTCAATTGCACAGTATTGCCCAATAGCAAGAAATCTTCAATTGCACAGTATTGCGCAATAGCAAGAAATATCCAATAGCACAATATTGCGCAATAGCAAGAAATTGTCAATTGTACAGTATTGCGCAATAGCAAGAAATATTTAATTGCACAGTATTGTGCAAAAGAAGATACTTCGTATAAATTGCTTATTTCTTGATCAATTTCAATGGGGTTTTATTTTTGAATTCTTGGGGTTCTTTAATATGCTGAATCTAACAGTGTATTTAGTTTTTGGATTTTGGGCCCCGTTTTTAAATTGGTCCACATTGAGGTCCAAAGGGTCCAAAATTAAACTTTGTTTGATTTCATCAAAAATTGAACTATTGGGGTTCTTTGATATGCCGAATCTAACCGTGTATTTGGATTCTTAATTTTTGGTTCCGTTTTCAAATTGGTCTACATTAATGTCCAAAGGGTCCAAAATTAAACTTAGTTTGATTTTAACAGAAATTGAATTCTTAGGGCTCTTTGATATGCTGAATCTAAACATGTATTTAGATTTTTGATTATGGGCCCAGTTTTCAAGTTGGTCCAAATCGGGGTCCAAAATTAAACTTTGTTTGATTTCAACAAAAATTTAATATATGGGGTTCTTTGATATGCTGAATCTAACCATGTATTTAGATTTTTGATTTTTGGGCCCCGTTATCAATTTGTCCACATTGAGGTCAAAAGGGTCCAAAATTAAACTTTGTTTGATTTCATCAAAAATTGAATTCTTGTGGTTCTTTGATATGCTGAATCTAACCATGTATTTAGATTTTGGATATTGGACCATAATAGGTGAATGTCCAATTTAAAATTTTTAAGTTCTTAGACCACATTCATTCTGTGTCAGAAACCTATGCTGTGTCAAATATTTAATCACAATCCAAATGCAAAGCTGTATCAAGCTTGAATGTTGTGTCCATACTTGCCCCAACTGTTCAGGGTTCGACCTCTGCGGTCGTATCAAGCTGCGCCCTGCGGAGCATTTTATTCTATCTTCAAAGACAGTTACAGTTAACATGGTTAATATAATAAATAATTTAGGGATAGAAATAAGAGGTTTTTTAACTGGCCAAGCAGGCTAACACTTTTTGAAATTCACTTGCTCTTCCCAATTTTTACTGGCCCTTCAAAATTGAGAAGAAATAACCTCTTGGATCTGTAGTTATATGTTTACATTATAAAGTCATCTAATATCAACATTTTTCATTGATAAAGAAAAGTAATGTCACATTTTATTGGATTTTGACATGAAAATTTGTGAACTAAAAATAATTTTAAGTTTCTGTATAAAATATTTCCTGTTTCTTATTTCTTTTTCATATATCTTTTAGTTTTCAATTCTAGTGTTTATATTTCATAGCTGTATTTTGTGACCTGCTTGGATTTTTTTTTTTTATTCATTTATTGTATTTGATCGGCAAACCCGGAATTAGTCTTATCTGTTCCCAGAAACTGATCCGGTATTGTAATTGTCTACATTCCCAGTTTAAGGCAGCCATTGTTGTTGATGTTGTTTTTGTCAATTAGATATGTTTTTACTCGGATTCACTTGTTGGCGATTTTCGGCATAAAGCTAGCGGTTGAACAACCAACATAAACATCACTGTCATGAATAATAAAGATGAAAATGAGTTTTGCTCCCAAATTGGGAAAAATGTAGGGTTTTTGCCATTGAGAATGGGTCCGAATACCGGATCCTGTGGAATGCTAGAAAAATCCATGTCAATTAAAAATAGATATAACATCAAATCATGTATAAATATAGTTTGAAATTTACTCTTCATTATTAGATATTTTAAATATAATTAAAGGTAACTTTTATAGATTTTAAAGATTAAATCTAAACCCTTCAGAATGAAAGTTTCATATCTTCTCTCAATTATAAAATGGTTAAGTAGAGCTTGCATGAGTTCAAATCCCTGCTGGTGATCCGATGGATAAATCTGTTGTAGAGTTGGCACTGGTTCAGACGTACTTATATATATATATACATTGTTAGGTTGATTTTCTAGGCACTTTATAAATATTCTAAAGCCTGGTATTTCTTAATCATAAGAAATCCGATGGACAAGGTACAATTTACAGTTGTCACTACACATAGGCAGACATATATATATAAATTTACAGTGATTGTAAGCTTCTAAAAATAGAACAGCATTCTGTAATTATACTGAAGAGATGAGTAGATGATCATTTCTGTACACTTAAAAATACTTTGTGTATTGCGTCTAGATGTCCTTGTTTAATTTCTACGAGAAGGTAACACCTCCCGAAACGAAAGCTGATTTTAATCAGCTATAGTAAGAGGAGGGGATAAGGTGTCTGCGCAATGCTAGGCGGTGTTGTCGTAGAAGTATGAAGTGAAAAGTACAGGTTCCAGCCCCGAACGGGGAGGAAGTAAAGAATCAAATCTACTCAAACATTGTTAGGTTGATTTTCTAGGCACTTTATTGACTGACCATTACAATCATTGACCACAACTCTGCTTGGTCTAGGTAGGATAGACTCACTCGGGAAAGATTTTGGATAAGAAAATTAACAACTTTGGCACCAAATGGGATAAATGAAAAGATGTTGTTCGACTCCATGCAGTGCTTCACATTTGGATTATATTACTTTTTATTACAGTCTCTGTTTCTATTTCTTTACCTTACTCATCTCTAAAATAAATGTTGAATATACCAATTTAAATTGCTTAATTTTTTGAGGGATGTAAAAGTACCAAGCCACGTTCAACTAATTAACCTTAGTCAAAATTTATTATTATATTTTAACGGCTGTTTGTTTGCGATGTTTAATTACGCAGACTCTGTTGCAACTACTCTACCGTTGTCAAATTTGAAATATTTACAAAGTTAGATCGTTCAGTGCTGTTTATTTGGAATTCTTATTGACGCAATCGTTCTTGTAACATCATAACTGTCGTCACCGTTAAAGCTTTAGAATTGTGCTAGTTCATATCGCACATTATTATTTTTATTTAAAGCATATATTTGAACTCTCTGTTGAAATTAGTCATATAACCTATGTCGTGTTTAACACATATTTAGAATTGTGCAAGCGTCTTACCTGATGTTTGGTTTGATATTTTTATTGTATAAATTTCAAGATTGGTATAGTTTAATCTAAGTAGACTGATATATGATTCATTCAACATCACAATCATATTTACTGATGAAGGATATCTGTTATCCGAAATATTTATAAATAATTACATTTATAGTTCCTTTTTTAGCTCACCTGGTCGTCGTTAGCTTTTTACAAAAATCTTCTCCTCTGAAACCACTGGGCCAAATTTAACCAAACTTAGCCACAATCATTATTAGGGTATCTAGTTTAAAAAATTTGTCCGATGACCCTGCCAACCAACCAAGATGGCCGCCATGGCTAAAACTAGAACATAGGGGTAAAATGTAGATTTTGGCTTATATCTCTGAAACCAAAGCATTTAGAGTAAATCTGATTATCAGGTCAAGATCTATCTGCCCTGAAATTTTCAGACAAATCTGACAACCTGTTGTTGGGTTGCTGCCCCTGAATTGGTAATTTTAAGGAAATTTTGCAGTTTTTGGTTATTATCTTGAATATTATTATAGATAGAGATAAACTGTAAACAGCAATAATGTTCAGCAAAGTAAGATCTACAAATAAGTTGCATGACCAAAATTGTCAGTCGACCCCTTTAGGAGTTATTGCCCTTAATAGTCAATTTTTAACAATTTTTTGTAAATTTTTGTAATCTTTCACAAAAATCTTCTTCTCTGAAACTACTGAGACAAATATAACCATACTTGGCCATAATCATTATTAGGGTATCTAGTTTAAAAAATTTGTCCGATGACTCCGCCTTCCAACCATCATGGCCGACTTGGTTAAAAATAGAACATAGGGGTAAAATGGAGTTTTTGGTTTATATCTCTGAAACTAAAGCATTTAGAGCAAATCTGACAGGTGGCAAAAATGTTCATCAGATTTAGATTTATCTGCCCTGTGGGTCCAAATTAGGGTGCAAAATTCAAATTTTGCTTGATTTCAATATGCTGAATTTAATCATGTATTTAGATCTTGGATTTTGGGCCAATTTTTCAAAAAGATGCATCACCAAAATTATCAAATTATCAGCATTCTTATTCAAATATATCAATCCACTTCAATAATAATTAAACATTTCCCACATATTTTTTAAAACAATTTCCTCCATATTGACATTTCTAATTAAAGGGAAATAACTCAAACCACAATTAAATGATAATCCACTCTAAAACACACATTAATGTTACCTTTTGATATTACTTTTCAGAACAATTTTACACACAAATTCACAAATCTAATTTAAATAACATCCCAACCACTTAAGATTACAATCCCATAAACCACAATTACCACTTCATGCCCAATTTCATGCCACAATTTTTTCCCATATTATTATCCTATTTTGCCCAAAAAAAATTAAAAATCTTCAGTTCATTATAATATAATTCTATTATCCTTTTAACTTAGATATAATTTTATTCTGCATTTCATTTCCACTACATTATTAATTCCTAAAATTGCTGAATTATCAATATTTATTTCTGAATGCTACCAGTTTAACAATGTCAAGAAAATGAATTTCCTCCCAATTTCCATCACCCAAAGACACAATATGTTAAAAAAAAACTTCAATCATTACCTGATTACAAGTAAACCTCAACTACCATACACATCGATCTGTAACCCACTTGTAGCAATATTCAATCACCAAAAAATTATTAATTAATTTAATAAAAGGTTTTCTACCAATTGCAGCATAAAATAAATTCCTTTATGGAGCATTCTAAAGACTTAGCTAATATTGTCCATTAATAAATAAATAAATAAAATACTTGGTGTACTTGGATATGCTGAATCTAACTGTGTATTTAGATTTTGGATATTGGACCATAATAAGTAAAAGTCGGATTTCAAATTTTTCAGTTCTTTAACCACATTAATTTTGTGTCAGAAACGTATGATGTGTCAAATATTTAATCACAATCCAAATTCAGAGCTGTATCAAGCTTGAATATTGTGTCCATAATTGCCCCAACTGTTCAGGTTTCCACTTCTGTAATCCTATCAAGCAGTGCCCTGTCAAGTATTTTATTTCAAATTTATAAAAAAAATTAGAAATATAATCTTTTGCAATAAATACATGAACAATGCAAAAGAATAGTGTTGATTAATTTGTGTGTGGAGCTCCCAGGTTGTAATCATACAAATTAAAAACATATGAATTTGAATTGAAAAAAAGAATATTTTTATTTTATTTTATATTTTCAGCATGAGGCTACAAATTTTAACATGGACTGGAAAGTACCATGTACCATCTTTTTTGTTAAGAAAAATATTGTGAAGTGCTATGATACACAAGGTAAGATATAAAAATGTACATATACTAATATAATGCTATGATACCTATTTATGTGCACACAACATGTTTTTATACGACCGCAAAAATTAAAAATTTTTTGGTCGTATATTGGTATGACGTTGGCGTCGTCGTCGTCCGGCGTCGTCGTCTGGCGTCTTCCAAAGACACATTGGTTTTCGCACTCTAACTTTAGTTTAAGTGAATGGATCTCCATGAAATTTTACCATAAGGTTCAATACCACGAAAGGAAGGTTGGGATTGATTTTGGGGGTTATGGTACCAACAGTTAAGGAATTAGGGGCCAAAAAGGGGCCAAAAATAAGCATTTTTGTAACTTCCAGACAATAACTTGTGTGTAAGTGTATGGATCTCTCTGACATTGTACCACAAGGTTCCATATCACAAAGGAAAGGCTGTAATTGATTTTGGGGGTAATTGCCTCAAAATTTTAGGAATTAGGGGCCAAAAAAGGGGCAAAAAACAAGCATTTTTCTAGTTTCATGACAATAACTTGTGTGCAAGTGTTTGGATATTTCTGAAATTGTACTACAAGGTTCCATATCACAAAGGGAAAGCTGGAATTGAGTTTGGGGGTAATTGCCCGAAACGTTTAGGAATTGGGGGCCAAAAAGGGGCCAAAAATAAGCATTTTTCTAGTTTCCAGACAATAACTTGTGTTCAAGTGTATGGATCTCTCTGAAATTGTACTGCAAGGTACCATACCACAAAGTGAAGGCTGGGATTGAGTTTGGGGGTGATGAATCATAAGGGGGTTCAATAAATTTGGGGGGGGGATTTTTTTTTTTTTCTTTTTTTTTCTTTTTTTCCTTTTTTTTTTCTTTTAAAATTTTCCATTTTAAGTTGGTTATTTCTGATTAACATTTAAAAGCAAATAATAATGATATGGTAGGAGATACACACCAAACAGGATGTGTAAATTATTATCTAATAAGTATTGTGCAATAGCAAGAAATTTTCAATTGCACAGTATTGCACAATAGCAAGAAATCTTCAATTGCACAGTATTGCGCAATAGCAAGAAATCTTCAATTGCACAGTATTGCGCAATAGCAAGAAATATCCAATAGCACAATATTGCGCAATAGCAAGAAATTGTCAATTGTACAGTATTGCGCAATAGCAAGAAATATTCAATTGCACAGTATTGTGCAAAAGAAGATACTTCGTATAAATTGCTTATTTCTTGATCAATTTCAATGGGGTTTTATTCTTGAATTCTTGGGGTTCTTTAATATGCTGAATCTAACCGTGTATTAAGTTTTTGGATTTTGGGCCCCGTTTTTAAATTGGTCCACACTGAGGTCCAAAGGGTCCAAAATTTAACTTTGTTTGATTTCATCAAAAATTGAATTATTGGGGTTCTTTGATATGCTGAATCTAACCGTGTATTTAGATTCTTAATTTTTGGTTCCGTTTTCAAATTGGTCTACATTAAGGTCCAAAGGGTCCAAAATTAAACTTAGTTTGATTTTAACAAAAATTGAATTTTTAGGGTTCTTTGATATGCTGAATCTAAACATGTATTTAGATTTTTGATTATGGGCCCAGTTTTCAAGTTGGTCCAAATCGGGGTCCAAAATTAAACTTTGTTTGATTTCAACAAAAATTGAATATATGGGGTTCTTTGATATGCTGAATCTAACCATGTATTTAGATTTTTGATTTTTGGGCCCCGTTATCAACTTTGTCCACATTGAGGTCAAAAGGGTCCAAAATTTAACTTTGTTTGATTTCATCAAAAATTGAATTATTGGGGTTCTTTGATAAGCCGAATCTAACCGTGTATTTAGATTCTTAATTTTTGGTTCCGTTTTCAAATTGGTCTACATTAAGGTCCAAAGGGTCCAAAATTAAACTTAGTTTGATTTTAACAAAAATTGAATGTTTAGGGTTCTTTGATATGCTGAATCTAAACATGTATTTAGATTTTTGATTATGGGCCCAGTTTTCAAGTTGGTCCAAATCGGGGTCCAAAATTAAACTTTGTTTGATTTCATCAAAAATTGAATTCTTGGGGTTCTTTGATATGCTGAATCTAACCATGTATTTAGATTTTGGATATTGGACCATAATAGGTGAATGTCCAATTTAAAATTTTTAAGTTCTTAGGCCACATTCATTCTGTGTCAGAAACCTATGCTGTGTCAAATATTTAATCACAATCCAAATTCAGAGCTGTATCAAGCTTGATTGTTGTGTCCATACTTGCCCCAACTGTTCAGGGTTCGACCTCTGCGGTCGTATCAAGCTGCGCCCTGCGGAGCATTTTATTGGAATATAAAAAAGAAGATGTGGTATGATTGCCAATGAGACAACTCTCCACAAGAGACCAAATGACACAGAAATTAACTGCTATAGGTCACCGTAAGGCCTTCAACTATGTGCAAAGCCAATACCGCATAGTCAGCTATAAAAGGCCCCGAAATCACAAATGTAGAACAATTCAAACGAGAAAACTAACGGCCTAATTAGTGTACAAAAAAATGAACAGAAAACAAATATCCTTCCTTGGGTATTATTTTGACCAAATGTTTTTGAAGCCAAGACATAATACACATGAAAGTATCAAAATTTTATATAATTTATAAGCTGAAAATGTACAGGATACAAAATGGTAATATTGTAAACAATAAATAGTAAAATACATCAAGGATAATATCACTTTCAGGGCTGTTATTCATCTTAGTTCTAGACAATAAGTTTGCAGAAGAAAAAAAACTGTATTAGTTTATAATTAGGTCAGTTTAAGGGGAACCACTAGTGGTAATTGTATGATCATTGGCACATCTCATTTCCATGGAGATAATTTAGCTTGCCCCCTGAGTCATGGTCTATTGACTTTGAAACTTTTGCTTAGTTTACATGTTAGTTTGTAATTATGTCAGTTTAAAGAGAACCAAAAGTGGTAAGTCATGTATATTTGGTATGCAGTTGTTTCATTTCTATGCAGATTATTAGGCCCTGCCACTGAAGCCATGCATCGTCTATTGACGTTAAGATGAACCACTATTGGTAAATCAATGATATTTGGTTTGCAGTTGTATAAGCATTTGTGTGTCTCATTTTTGTAGAGCCTGCGACATTCATGTCCTGAAAGCAAGACATAGTGATCATAGATTCCGATAACAGCATCAACATTTAGGTTCAGTCTGTGGTTAAAAGTTTTTTTTAGAAAATCAATAATTTTGTCAAACCTTCATGGAATTTTATGAAATTTTGGACAGAGGCTTGTTTATGACCAAAATACAGTATCCAGAGCAAAATTTAGAAAATATTTATTTTCATTTTTAACCTGATTTTCGAAGGAAATATCGGTTATTAAAATGGGGATGTACGGCGGGTGCCTGTCTGGGCTGAAGGGCGGCTGCCAAACAGTGTCAGCACAATATCATGAAAACGCTTTAACAAAGTTTTTTTAATTTAAATATGTTGTTTCCTGGGACTTAATGAAGGTCTAGTTCAATTTTTCAAGATTTTAATATATCTCCTTTGTGAGTTATCGCCATTTTTAATATCCTAAAGTGGAATTTTAAAATATTTTGCTCTTGTTATCATGATATGATTTGTCTTATCTCACAATAAAAATTGGAGTGACAGATTTATTTGAAAATTATCTATTTCCTAAGTGGTAATGATTATAAGCTATATCATTAGACATTTTGAAGATAATTACATTATTAATTATTATATATGTAATGTTAGAGTACTATGTTAAACCATAGTTCTGTTCAATTAGATCTGGGAAATATTTTAGCATATGATAATGATTTATTTTCATTATCAATTAGATCTGGGAAATATCTTAGCATATGATAATCATTGGAGTGACAGATTTATTTGAAAATTTTCTGTTTCCTGATAAGATCTGTAGGACTGTATATATAAAGTTTGAAATTTACTAGAAGGACTGTATAAATGAAGTTTGAAATTTACTGTTTATTATTAGGCATTTTGTAGATAATTAAGTCTCCCTAAATCATGTATATTCTTACCCCCACCCCCCTTCAATTTGAGAATGTGCTTTTAGCTTGTAAACGGTCGATATCCCCACCCCTAAACCATATATATTCTTGTATGGGACAATAAAACAAATCAAATGAAATATAGGAGAAGTCCAGAGAGGTCACCCCCACCCCCCTTTTTTTTGAAAACTTGTAAACGGTCAAGATCCCTACCCCGAAACCATATATATTCTTGTATGGGACAATAAAACAAATCAAATGAAATAAAATGTGAGTCCCCTGGGGTCAACCTCACCCCCTCCTGTTTAAGAACTTGTAAATGGTCGAGATCCCCACCCCTAAATCATATATATTCCTGTATGGGAAAATAAAACAAATCAAATGAAATATAGGGGAAGTCCATGAGGGTAACCCCCACCCCCCTTCTTTTTGATAACTTGTTAACGGTTGAGATCCCCACCCCGAAACCATATATATTCTTGTATGGGACAATAAAACAAATCAAATGAAATTTAGGGGAAGTCCATGGGGGTAACCCACCCCCCTTCTTTTTGAAAACTTGTAAACGGTCGAGATCCCCACCCCTAAACCATATATATTCTTGTATGGGACAATAAAACAAATCAAATGAAATATTGGTGGAGTCCCTGGGTTCACCCCCACCCCCCTTCTTTTTGAAAACTTGTAAACTGTCAAGATCCCCACCCTGAAACCATATATATTCTTGTATGGGACAATAAAACAAATCAAATGAAATTAAAGGCAAGTCCTTTGGGGTCAACCCCACCCCCTCCTGTTTGAGAACTTGTAAATGGTTGATATCCTAACCCCTAAACCATATATATTCTTGTATGGGACATTATAACAAATCAAATGAAATATAGGGAAAGTCCATGGGGGTAACCCACACCCCCTTCTTTTTATTGATAACTTGTAAACGGTCAAGATCCCCACCCCGAAGCCATATATATTCTTGTACGAGACAATAAAACAAATCAAATGAAATAAAAGGTGAGT